TGAATGAATCGGAGTACTACCCCCTAGTGTATAAGTGAAAGAGGAGAGTTTGAGTAGCCCATGGAGGAGAGAAGATGAAGTAAGAGAGGATGGAGGAGAAGGGGAGAGGGATGAGGGAGATGGAGATGGAGAAGAAGAGGAGGAAGACAAAGAGAATGAAAGTAAAGAGGAGGAAGGAGGAGATGAAGAGGGGAGAGAAGGGAAGGAGGAAGGAGGGAGTGAGGAGGAAGAAGAGGAAGAAGAAGGAGGAGAGGAAGAAGGAGAAGAAGAAGAAGAAGGAGAAAAAGAAGAAGAAGAAGAGGAAGAAGAAGAAGAAGAAAATGAAGGTGAAGAAGCCTCTTCCTTCCTCTCACCTCGTTGATTCCTTGATGTTGGTGTCCTCTTGATTAAGCTTCCTCTCCTTGCACAATCCCCTCTTAGCTATGGCTTCCTTCTTCTCCAAACCCTTCTCTCCTCCTCCCTTGCTCTCTCAGGCTATGGCAAGCTCCCCCAGCTATGGCTATGGAGTCCTCCCCTCTAGGAGGGCTAATGGGGCTCCTCTAGCCTCTCCTTCTCTCCTACACCCAGGAGGGATATGGCGGATCACCTCCCAAGTGTCTCTCCCACCATCACTATCCTCTAGAGTCCTCCCCACTACCTCTTAGTCTCCTCTAAGCTCTCCCACTAGCATGGGTTCCTCCCTCCTCACTCCAAGTGCAAAGATGCTCATGTGAGCTCACTTGGGCAGCATGGGCACTCCTCATGCAAATGTGAGAGTGGCGGACTGCATCCTCAGCTTATGTAGGCTGAAACCAGCAGTCCGGCCAGCCCATGAGCCTCCCCATAAGCCTTGAGGTGAACCGAGGTACCCCCAAGTCAAAATTCCCTCACTAGGCCCTCGTGGAGGTACCTGAGCCTCATTTTGGCCAAGTACATGCAGTCCAAGTGGTTGATACCAACTCGGACTACCTCTTGGCCTACTCCAGCCTCCTTTTTGCCTCACAAATGCTGCCACCATGGGTCCTAGTGCCCAAGGGGCATTTTTACTTGAAAGAAAAAGGCCTTGTGGATTTTTTTCTCGATTTTTTCAAGTTTTGGCCTCTTTTGAGTAGGCCGGAGCATTTTTTCATATGGCAGCACATTTTCAGCCTTGGATCTGGCTGAGATCCAAGGCCAGCAATAATCCGAGCTACAACCCTAGTAACCCTTGCTTCAATTTTGAGCCCCTAAGTCCAGTTTTTCAATTTTTGGTGCATCCGGCTCTCTTTTTGGGCCAAATGCACTGTTTTGTTATTTTCCCTCTTTTGTTTCTTTCCATATTGGGCTGCCACCTCATTTCGGAGCTAGCCGTTTTGAGCTGGCCCACAAAAAACGGTCAGTTCCTCTCTGCCATGAGATCTGATCTCAGATCCATGACCCAAAAGAAAACCGGTCACTTCCTTTTTGCATTTTCTCTCATTTTCAACTTTTTAATTCAGATTTTATTGAGATATGGCCCTAAGGGCCATTTCTCTGCAATCCAGATTGCCCTCCCTCATTCTAGGAGGGCTGAGATCACAGTTGGGACCTGCCAGTCCCTACTGTGCAGGTCCCAATAGGCCGGCACACTCTCCTCCACTCTTTTCTCCCCTTTTGTCTCATTCTCCCTCCTTTTCCTCTCATTTTTCTTTCTTTTTCTTTTATTTCAGTTGTGACAAGTGTCAAACTGCTGTGCACCCTCTTTCTAGGCCCTAAGGTCTCATTCAAGGCCAGATTTATAGCTATTACTTGGCCGTTACATCTCGGATTCCAACAATGGCACCCCCATGCTCCTAGGGGGCTCTATTTTGCTCCCGTTTGCCCATTTTTTAGCCCCTTTTGCTCCGATTTTCTAAGGGCAGTTTTTTTCTCATGTTGAGTCTCTCAAGGCTCTATTTTCTTATGCCTAGTTAGTCCGAGATATCCCAGACTGCTGGGCAGCCTTCTCAACATCATTATTTTACTTTTCTTTCGCCCGTGACACTCCCACTTGCTCCCACTTAGTGCTTGCACTAGTGGTTCTAATACTTTTCACCGTCTAGATCCTTGATCTCGACGGTGCGGTTTTGCTTGCACAAATATTCCTTGTGCTTACTCACGGTTCCCTTGGGACACCCCAAGTCCCCGCCATCTTCCTCCATACTAGTTTCATTTCCTTGTCCCGCCGGCGCATGTCCCGTTTTTCGATTTTTATTATTTGGACTCATTTGACTCCCGACAACATTCCGGATAGCGTCTCATTTTTATTTTTGGGGTCCCCTTACCCTTGGTGGTCCCATCATCTCTATATGTGTGCTGATTTTTCTAGGCCGTAAGATCTCATCTCACGGTTGCCGTTTACCGTTTTTACTTGCCCCCTTGCCGAAATTGTTCCTTTCTAGCCTTCCGGGCTTGTCGTAGCCCATTTTCCCTTGGCCTTGGTATCCCCATGCAGTCCGTAATTTCTCGGACTGCAGTCATGGCTGTCTTCTATACCCGCAGCCCCAGAACTTGCCCCATGTTAAAAGAAAATGAAACGTTGAATTTTCTAGTGCATCCGGGCTCGATATTGGCTCTACATGCACCTAGAACATGTGTTTTCTCTCCCCTATGCAGTCTGTTGCAACTCGGACTGCTATGGGGGTCAATTCCTTAGCCCCAATGCCCCACAACTAGCATTTACTCAAAAGAAAAAGAAACGGTCAATTCCCAAGTGCATCCGGACTTGATTTTGGCTCCGGATGCACCTACACCTAAAACATGTGTTTCTCCTCATGCATGTATTCCGTTTTATTCTGGTTGCAAGAGGCCTTGATTTTCTTTGATTCTCTTCGCAAAAATCAAAGAAAATCAAAGTCCTTTGCAACCGTCATATTTCAGAACGAATCTGGTCACGGATGAATCTCCCCAAGTGACCGTTTTTTACCGTTAAGGGTTTTTTGTCTTTTCTTTTCTTTTCTTTTCTTTTCTTTTCTTTTCTTTTCTTTTCTTTTCTCCTCCTTTCTTGGACAGTAGGGACCTGCCAGTCCCTACCTATGGCAGTTCTTACTGACGGCCAACTCACTCCCTCCCTCTCACTCTTTTTGTCTTATTCTCCCTCATTTTCTTTTCTTTTCTCTCTTTTTTCTAGCATGTCAAGTGTCAAGTGGCCGTTAAGGCCCTTTTCTAGCCTCTTCCTCTTAGTTTTGGCCCTCCCTATGCCCAAGGTGCAGCCCGTTATTTCTCGGACTGCAATAATGGCCTTCCGATGCCCATGGGAGCCTCCGTTTACTCCTACATTTCTCCCACAATGGTCCCTCCTACTCCGATTTTCTCTTGGAGGGTTATTTTTCACATGGGGTCTTATTTGACTCTATTTTTTTGAGGGAGGTTGATCCGAGATTTTTCGGATTGCTCCCATGCCTTCCACTTCAGTTTTCTTTACTTTTCCTTTTCCTTTTGGTCTTCCCGTTTGTCACCACTAGTACTTGCACTAGTGGTGCTAACATTCTTGGCCGTCAAGATGTCGATCTTGACGGTGCACCTTGCATTTATTATTTTTCCCTCATGAGGTGCCGTCGTTCCTTCTTGGAACTTCCACATGTCCCTGCCACTTGTCCCGCGGTGGTCCCCAATACTTAGTTCCGCCGGTGGTCCCCGGCACTTAGTCCCGCCGGTGGTCCCCGATACTTAGTTTCGTGGGCGGTCCCCGACAGTTAGTTCCGTGGCGGTCCCCGACACTTAGTCCCGTCGGCGGTCCCCGACACATTTCGCCCCGGATGCCATTATTTTTACTTAGTCCCACGTGGCCCCGGGTGCCTTTCCCCGAGGTGTCCCATGCCCCTTGGGTGTCTTGTCGCCCCATAGCGACCCCTCTCCTTAGTCTTTCCTCGCGTCTTGTACGTGCCGATCTCTTTAGTCGTGGACCTCCGCTCCGAGGCTCCCATAAGTGGCCCCCACGTTGGCCCCTCATTTATTGGTTTCCCGCGGTTTCTGGCCGCCCATCCCTCAACTTCCTCATTTCCTTATTGTTGTTGCGCTGCAATTGCTAGTTCAAAGAGCCCTTTGGCCTTAGTCTTATTGCATTCCGATGGCCCTCCCGGCCTCCTGCTATGTTCTATGTGCCCCTGTTCTTGCGCTCACTCGCTTGCTGCCGCTTAGTTCTGTCCCTCTGTAGTTCTCGCCCCAGGGCATTACTCCCTCCCGCGGCCTAATCCTTTATCTCGTCTCACTCTGGATTTCTCTGTTGTGCACAGTTCGTCCATATTCAGTCTCTCAATTGATGGGAAGTTATTCGGGACTCACCAGTCCCGACAACGTCCTTACCGTCGCCGTCGTCTTTCCACGTGCCACACACGCGAATCATCGAAATCAATCACTGTCCGCACATTCAACCGCCTTCTCCACCTTATCTCGTTCGTCTTCCGAGGGTCTAGTCCCCAACCAGTCCAGGCGTTTGGCATGCGTAGGCGAGGGTAAAGTGGCGTCATGCTGGAAGGATACGCCGCATGATGCCCAGTCGGGGATGTACCGGGGAGGGTCCACCAACGTCATGGCGGACTTTCCCATCCGCTCAGTGACGAGAGTGGCTGCCAAAATGATGTGACGGCGCGCTTCGAACAACCGATGCATTGACGCAACAAGTGTGGGCTTCGCTATGAGTTGGACGAATAGGGACGCGTCGAAGTAGGTACGAAGATCATCCCCAGCCATTCGCATAAGCCACATCGCAGCTGCGAGCAAAAGCCTCATGCAATCGGCGATGTTCTTCAACCTCTCATACGATATTCGCCCTCCGTCCACAGACTCAGCCAGGCTGACCGCGCTTGTGAAAGCCCCCACCACTCGCTGCACGCTCGCCTCCTGGTAAGATGCCAGCTCGTCGTCCTCGTGTTTGTCCTCTATGTTGGCGCCGGCGAACCACATAGGTAGTTTCATGCCCAGGTCCAGGGTGTCGTGGATGACAGCAAGAATTACGCACGTTCGTCAGTCCTCTCCACACCACATGGTGCGGGCGATGTCCGCGGCGACGTGGTTCAACACGTAGCCGTATGCTGCATGGTAGCCACGTGACCGGCTGGCGGACTTGAAGATCCACGCATGGATAATGCGCAAGGCGATGCTCTACACTCTCGTCGCCCTCTCTTTCGCCGCCTTCAGCTCGGATTCGTCTTCCACTTTATGCTGGGGGGTGGTGTTGTGCGGGAGGGCAATGCTCCGGCGTATGCCTGGCGGTTGTACCCCCCTGGTGATGGCGAAAAGGTACAAGTGCGCCTCAATAATCAACTTATAAAGCCCGTGTCCCTCCATCTCGTTCCAGAATCTGAGATCATCCACCCACAGCCTCGTCGCGGCCTCGATACCCTCTTTCACATACCCTCCCCTATGTCTGTTCACCAAAGGATCGTCATCGTCGCCATCGCCACGGCCTTCGCCAGCCCCAGCGCCTCCAGCTGCCATGGAAGACCCCACCCCTGCCCCGCCACCTTGCGCCTCCATCGCATGGGTGCGTGATACTACCTGTCCGCTCCCTTGAGCAGCCGCGTTTGAACCCCCTCCACCGTCCTTTACGGGCTGCTGACGTGGCGTCGCTGGTGACGAAGGGGCCCGAACAGACCGATCGCCCTCCGGTGGCCCCATCGTACGTGTCATTGCCAATGCCCCCGCCGTGCGCACCTCTACGATGCTTGTCATGCCGCACACCTCCCTCGGCGCAACACCGGCGTCGACATCGATGACAACATCCTCCCTCGCGCGCGCCCCCCCACCTCAGGGTTGATGAGCAGCCTGCGCAACACCTGTGTCGTTGATCTTCAAAGCACCCCGGGTGAGCAACGACCCTTTCCGTGTAACGGCCTCCTCTTCTCCCGATTTGATGGCGTCATCTTCTTCCGTGCTCTCGCCGTCGCTCACCCACTCCTCCCTTACGCTTTTCCCGGCATTGGATGGCCCACCAGCGACAACCTTACGCTTCTTCGCGTGATGCCTTCCCTTCTTCTCCACAACAGGCACATTCTTTTCAAGAACGTCCCCTCCCCTTTTCGCTTGGCCGGCGCTGCGAGAGTTTGTCATCGTTGACGACGACAAGCGCGGAGGATGAAGGCGACGATGAGGTAATCCTCGTGGACGATTGTGAGATGGCGGCGAAAACGGCGATCCAGCCACATGAAGTGCCACGGAGAGGACGACCTGGCGACGTGCGCGCAATGGTCCCTGTGCGCAAGTGGGCGAAAAAAGGCGATGGCTGCCTCCAAAGATGTGTGTGGCGACAAAGATTTGGCGGGTCTGTCTCTCAACGACAAAGATTTGGGCGACGGAAGAGGTCTAAAGTGCACTTGTGGTTGACAGACAAGCGCGGCGTGGGGGTAGGACGATTGGACACAGAAGACGCAGTCCGGCGAGAAGACACTGACGTGTTGCACTGTCTGGCGACCTCGTGCGCGGGAGCTTATAGGGAAGACAGCAAGCGCACCTCCTGCTCAAGCGACCGGACCCCTTTTATTTTCGCCTCCGCTTGTTCACCCTACTTCACCCTTCTCGCCTTACCTTTTGCTGGCGTCCCCGTAG